TGCTGGATTCAAAAACTTTTGAATCCGTCGGAACAATCTGAAGTTCAGTTGCTGTTTCTGAATTATACCAATAATATACGTTTCAGAACGGCCAATTCGTGAGACCCCTCCTTTTGGCACTATTTGTGCAGAGCTTCGTCCATCTTGATGACTGGGTTTGTCATGGACGAATTTTTCTAATTTTTCTGCAGGTTTTCTGAGATGAGATTGATGTGTTGATGTTCAGCTGTGGATATCATATTCTACGCATATTTTTGGGAAATACGGTATGCCAATGGGTATGGCACAACGTGCATCACTTCTGATGTCTCTACCTCAAGCAGTGATTAGTATTGCCCTTCTAATGTAGGTTTACAGCATAACAATACTATATGAAAAGATAAAGCGTGAAGCTCTCGCCGTTGATCGGATGCGCCACGCATTCTACTTCCATAAAAAAACGTAGTGGCTTATTGAGTGCGATGTGGCTTTCGAAAGGAATTGCGGGAGACAACCCATGAACAATTCGGTGCACCGATCCTCTCAGATGAACCTGGTGCCAATGTACCGTTCAATAAGGGTAGAGGGACTGATTGGCCTGGGCGGGAGCCGATCCAGGATTTGATCCTTGACGTGCGCAGATCAAGAGTGGTACTTGTCACTACAGCATCTACACCTCAGGAAAGCTATGATCCCCGTTATTCAGGTGCTTTGAAAGCTTCACTAGAAGAACTCTCTTGTTGGTCCCAACTACCATAAGTATTTTTATCGGTATACTCACAATACTCGCTATCAACTTTGGGAAAGGTATGAGCTTTTAACTGTATAGAACTAACTATCAACGTTCTTTTTTCACATTACATAATTTCAGCTTCACTTGGACTGCCATTAGGGGCTACACTGGCCATCTTGGCCTCTATGGATCTCACCGCTGCAGCTGTGTGTGGAGAAAGTGCCTACACAATTGTGCCTGAATTATTCCTCCCGAATGATAAAATACTTGGCACCGCTATTGTTGGCATTGCTCAGGTGCGTGCTCTGTTTTTTTAGTAAATCCATTCTTACATTCGCATTTTGAAGCAGTCACTTTGCTTGTTTTGCTCCGCTGCTGACGTGTTGAGAGCGCAGTGTTACAGTCGTCATCCGGGCAGTTGATTAGGCGGTCAAAGGGTCGCAGACGCGGCTGCGGCGCGTCACGACCGCGGCGATCAGCTGTTTCCAGCCTATTTAGCCATTTTCTCCCTAATTTTCACTGTATTCACTGTACTGTATTTTCACTTTTTTTCAAGGTGAATTAATTTGGCCTTTATGAAATATATTAGGGCGTGGATTCTTTTTTGTTTTTGTAATGATGTGCTTTTGTGATTTGTAGGTATTTGTTCAACTGTTTGTTCACTTATTTAATTGTTCGCGAAAAAATAATAGAAATCTCAATCATAATTTGCCTTTTGAAGAAAAGCAGCCAAAAACAGTGAAAACTAGGGGGAAATGTTAAATAAGATGAAAACAGCTGATCGCCACGGTCGTGACGCGCCACAGCCGCGTGTGCGACCTTTTGACTGCCTAATCAATTGCCCGGATGACGACTGTAGATGATAATCAATGCAACAATTAACAGTCAATTACCAGGAACGTTGCCAATCAGAAATCAGTTTCAAATCAGAAATGCAGGGCGGAAGTGGGACCTCAAAACACATTTCGCAGTTGCAAATCACGAGGAGCGGGGTTCAGACATGAATTGAGCATGCTGATTGACTCCCTTCCGGGAAAGGAGCGAAAGAGCCGTCAAAAACAAAAACTAGATGAAGTCGAGTTTATTTTCTGGATTGTAAGAGCACGCGGTAGGGGACATAAATACAAAGGGCTACGTGGCGCAGTTCGGCGAGGGGGGGGCATTTTGCACTTTCGTTGCTTCACTAGTTCCGGTTTACAAGTCTCACTCTGGTGAAACCTGTGAACTCTTGTGAAGCTGGAGCAAGCTCGTCAAGTTATCATGGTGAAACCTGGTCAACCTGAGAAGAGGCTCTCTAGATGGGAACACGTCGAAGTAGCAGAAGTGCAAAATGCCTCCTCCCCCGTCGCCGAACTGTGCCGGGCTACGTTGCTACTTGAACCTTTATGTAGTGCTGTTGCGAAATTCTTCAGGAAAATAGCTGAGGGCAGCTAAGTGTGGCAAGATGCAAAAAAAAACTTGTAACGAGCCAGTGAATGAGCTTCTCGAAGGGGAGCGATTCCGGTCATTTATCAAGCGTGAAAAGCTCCAGCGTACGTACAGGGACGAGAAAGCGCAGAGAGAAACAGGAAGTTGCCTGATTAAAGGGACAAGGCCAATTTGTCCGTACAGCAAATGCACAGTGAGGGATCATACAGGAGCGGGCGAGCACCACAAATCCGCGCAGACAAGGGCGAGAAGTTCAATCGCAATATCACGCTAGTTCGTGAATCGACAAGTACTTCTTACACTTATTACGAATGTTCAATTACTTCTGCCAGACGAAGTTCTTGGATGAAACCGCCTAATGGCTTGTAAAAGATTTTTTCCATTCAGTTCAACTAAACATTCGATATCATGCCGAGATTACGATAAGGGACAACGTGGAACTCATTAGCCTTCTGTTAAAAGCAGCACCCGCGTTTATTTGATACCTACGCCCTCCTTAGATATCGTAGCTTTGTCGACAAGGGTGGAGGATGTACTAATTTCGCAGCTCAAAAATACGAGAGGATGGCGCCACCCGCTTGTGAAGAGGATGCCGCCCCGCCCACCTGGCTGCCATAACTGCTTTGGCTTAGCCTTTAAAGGCTGAGCCCGCTTTCAAGAATAATGAGTTATGGAGCTCATATAATACGTGATCCAGTAGTGAAGAAAAAAGCAGAAAAAATCATGGAAAATGCCCTATATAGAACCCTATGCTGGCCAGGTGGGCGGGGCGGCCGACTCTTCACTAGCGAACGGCGCTATCCTCTCGCCTTTTTGAGATGCAAAACTAATCCTCTTTTCTCTCTCTTTTTTTCCTCTTTTCCTTCCACATAAAAGCGGCTGCTGATTGGAGCACAGCGGCGGAGGCACAGGCCTTAACACTTCGCTTCGGGTGTGTAGCAACAGAAGGGAGCTGGTGGGCGTGGCCTGCGACATATTTGCGACGAGAAGACGAAGCGTGCTTCTGGCGGTTTGAATAGGGTTATTGAAGGGAAGGTAAATATTGATCACCCAGGATCGAGTCTTGTGTTCAGTTACGGTTAAGTTTTCAGTTAGAGTATGAAAAAGTTCAATAGAGCACGAAATTCATTGGGGTCTTTAACATTGCTCTGGTTTGTCATCTTTTACAGCAGCTCACAGAAAAACTTGGCCATCCGTCTATTATATTGACGCTGGCGACTGCGCAAATCATGTGAACCACATAAACATAGGGAGAATCACGGCCTTATCTGATTTCTTTTGTATCTGTTTATTTCCTGAAGTTGCGTTTATGGAACCGCCAAACAATTGTGTGTTACTATCAAGAAAAACATCATTAGATTTTCAATCATTGATGAAACCTGCTAAATGTTGCGGATGTACGCTGTAGTAAATCATTTGCTCCAGTCGCAAAGCTATCGGCTAGCAAATGCACGTAAGTGAGCTGCTGAGTCATTCGCCGCGCGACGCGCCGCGTGCCGCGGGCGCTGCCCCGGACGATTCTGTTGCACGTCTCCCCTTCGCTCCGCCCTGCCGCCGCGTTGACGTCAAGAAACCGCGCCGCATTCGCGCACGGGTGAGTTCCCCCCCCCCTCCGCATTTTTACCCTCCGATATGGGACAAATCTATGCCCAGGAACGAACAAATAATCGTTCAGGATGGCCGTACAGCACGGGAAATGCCACAGATTCAATTATTTTCTATTAGCATGACGTCACTGCTCTTGCTTGTTCGGCACACGATCGCCAAAATAATTGATCGTTTCAGAATGTCTTCGGTGGTCTTCTCACGGCTGTTCTTCTTACAGCCGTGAATAGAGTTGGAACTGCTTTAGTACTGTTACCGTTTATTGCTGTAAACATTCTATACGTGGTAGTTAACTATTTGTATCTGCCGGAAACGGGTAAAAAGACGGCGCATGTAAGTTTTATTCTTTTTGTCTTCCATATTTTTCTTTTCATGTGCTTAGTTTGTGGGATGGTGTACCAGTTACGAGAAACATACACTCTGAAACTCGAGAAACATACACTCTGCTTTTGTTTCTTTCGTTTATATCTTGATATCGTTTTATATTCAAGGTTTTTTACCATTCTTAAAGGAACGGTCCGCGATGACCTATGAAAATGCAAGAGATTATGTGGGAAGGTAGTGCGGTCCGGAGTGGACAACCCTGTGCCAGTTTCGCGGCGGAAAGTTGTACGGTAAAGGGATTAAGGCGCAAAGTTGCTTCAGTGGTACATCCCTTTTTCCAGTGACTCCGCCTCCAGACTCCGCCTCCAAAGTCGGCCTTCCAGCCAAAAGTAATGCTCCCGGGCAAGTATCATGGAGTGGATGCATTCAGTGTCTCTTGTAGAGTCATAGGGTTCATTACTGGGAATCAGCCGACGGGAATTGTCCCAGCGCGCGGCGGTCTTTTACCTCTACAGTTGTTTGAGGCTAGAGGAGGCCTGACGAATGCGTTTCCAACGTTCCCTTTGGCATTTTCTCTTCATAGACGGTTCACTTGGCGAATTTTCTTCTACATTTCTGCAACATCACCTAGGCTTTCTATCGCGGATGCCTTTAATATAAAGACCGCCTCTTTAGACAAACATGAACCAACTGATGTCATTTGCTTCGATTTTGCTAAGGCGTTTGATAGAAGGGTCCACTTGGGGCTTTTCTCCAGGCTAAACAAGATAGGGATTCACCCTCGAACTGTTAACTGGATTAGCGCTTATTCGAAGGATAGATGTTTTCAGTAGTTAAATATTTGTATCCGCCAGAAACGGGTAAAAAGACGGCGTACGTAAGTTTTATTCTTTCATTCTTTTTGTCTTCCATATTTTTCTTTTCATGTGCTTAGTTTGTGGGATGGTATAGTTTTCACGAGAAACATACACTCTGCTTTTGTTTCTTTCGTTTATATCTTAATATCGTTTTATATTCAAGGTTTTTTTTACCATCCTCAATATAAAGGCCGCCTCTTTAGACAAACATGAACCAACTGATGACATTTGCTTCGGTTTTGCTAAGGATTCAGGTCGTTGTTAATGATAAGCACTCCTCTGTAAAGGCTGCACCAAGCAGCGTTCCCCGAAGAAGTGTCTTGTCTCCCAGTCCTTTAAATGCTTTTACCTCATGATATTCCGCGCTCCTGAAACCATAAACTGTTTCCTGTAAGATGTTTGCTGATGACCTGAAAGTATACAGGGGGGGGGGCAAAAAAAGTCACTTTGCTTCATTGACTTTCGAGGCGCTATAAGTTACACTTTATAAATTCTGATCGGACATTTCTACCACCATATTAAAGAGCATATTAATACTACACTCCGCCACAGCCTTCTGGAGGAGCGCCATCGAGAGATTCTGGCACGCGACCGCGATGTGGTGCCTGAGATCAGCGAGATAGTCGATTTCTCCGCCACCGTAGACCACCCTATTGAACTCCGCCCGAACCGGGTAATTGAGGGGATTCAGGTCAGGTGACCTACTTGGATATTCCATCTTCTTTAGGTACTCAGCCCCTTCCATTCCAAGTAGGCGAGAGTTTCTCCAACGCCCTTCGATTCCACGTGGTGGCACCCAATGCTGTAGCAGTACAAAGTTTCCAAGAAGGTACGGGCGACGACATGTGGGGAAGATATTCTTCTTGAGTTGGTCGATGTAACCGCCAGCGCTCAGCTTCAGCCCGGGGTCCACGAAGAAAATATTGGTCTTTCCATTCCAGGTGCGTCCGGTCCATACCATCAACCCGCGCCTTGGCGACTGCCGTGAAGATGATGTCCTAGACCGTAGCGACGTTGTCGGAGCTGCTCGATGTTGGAGGTCTTCCAGATTGAGAGTACTGGTCTCCAGGTAGCTACCCATGGGTGACTCCACACTAGAAGTTTCGCAGCTGTTTGGAGGTGACATGAATTCCAAAGGTCTTCTCCAGTCAGGCTGCGACTGGAGATGACTTCATATTTTGGTGTACATGAAGGTGATGGGCGAGGGCCAGCTCCTGCTTATCGAGGAACATCTTGGGTATCTTCCGCCCTGGTACTCGTATCCACGTCTTCTCTCTGGGCTGCGAAAACTTTGCTGATATGTGACTCGGTCGAAGTGACTTTTTTTGCCCCCCCCCTGTATATCAGCCCACACGCCTTCAAACGCATCGGCTCTCCAGGAAGCTAATTGAGTCACTGAGCTCTTGGTCTAGCGTTTGGAACCTACCAATATCGGCTTCCCAAACCAAAAGTGTTGCACTTGCGTGCAAATAATGTTCGTGTAAGGTGTTTTTTTTCGATGGCCAAGAGCTGGCTTCAGTTTCTGAAGTCACCGATCCTTGGTTTTCGCTACAACGACAAACTGGACTTCACTGAACACTGTGAAACAATCAGGAACAAGGCTCTCATTCAACTGCTCAATCTTTTTGCCCTCTCCACAAAAATCCTTACTCAGTAGGGGCTGCAGAACAGTCACAAGGAAGCTCGTCATTCGTACGACATGCACGCACTATCGTATCGTTCCGCGAGGCACTGTCTGGAAAGAAATTTTCGGACCCGTAACCCTCGAGGAGAACGTAGGTGTCATGATTTGAAAATGGTTTCTAGGATAATCAACGGTGGCATCAAATTGCCTAATGGTGACTCTTCCTTTCGTGTCCTGGAATTTCTGCACTAAGGGATCTCTATTCAAAATTGTCTTGCCCATAGCCAAAACTTCAGTGAGGGCAAATTTCTTTGTTCATCGGGCAGGCTCTCAATATCAAAAGTTGAGCAAAACCAAATTCAAATCAAATATTTAAAATCTCTTGCTTCAATATCACTGCCACAGACAAGTAGGTGTGCTCCGCCTATCATATCTCTTTTACATCATTTTATTTTTTTCCGTGGCTGTTTTGCCTGGTTCATTGGTTGTTATTACGTTGTTGTTGTTCAAGTTTATGTTTCATCTTCAAACACATGTCTCGGCATGTAATAAACATAACATAACAAAGCTGAACAAATTAAAATGCAATGAAGTAATGATACGTCAGGAAGTTTCCCATATCAAAGTGCAGTAAAAGAATGATGGTTTTCAGGAAGTTTCCCAGCAGTTCTTGGAAACGTTGCCTTGCAAAGAGCTGTACGAGAGCTTGCGACAATTCGCCCATACGATTTGGAGAGAGTTCTCGATTTCAACCGCTTCACCGTTTCAAGCACTTGTCTTAATTGCACAACTTATCGGGGCACTCTTAACATTACAGGCAGCTCTTCAATTGCTTTGGGCTCTTACTGCCTACTTAGGGTGGAGTTAAGAGCAACTGTTATCACTTCATGTATCATACTGTTTTGCGGTAGAAAATCCTAATCGATCCTTGAAATTTTTAATTTTTCTATTCTCGTAGATGTGCAGTGCCTTCAGAATTCGGGTTATTTGGCTCAGTGAAGTGAACATCCATTCTGGATCATTTTAGGAGATGCAGTCGTCATTAGGGCAGTTGATTAGGCGGTCAAAGGGTCGCAGACGCGGCTGCGGCGCGTCACGACCGCGGCGATCAGCTGTTTCAGCCTGGTTTAGCCATTTTCTCCCCAAGTTTCACTGTATTTCCAAGGACAAGAACGACAAAGAACAACTGCCCTTAGAAAAGCAGCCAAAAACAGTGAAAAGTAGGGAGAAAATGACTAAACCAGGCCGGAAACAGCTGATCGCCGCCAACAGTTCCTGCGTACGCGGTCGCTGCTGCAGCCGCGTCTGCGACCCTTCGACGATCGCCTAATCAACTGGTCGGATGACGACTGTAGGTGATATGATATTACGCCCACTATAACAAATGTACTGAATGAATTACTTTGAGCTCACTTTATTAATACTGCCATATACAAACCAGTAACGGAAAAGGTAATACAAGTGATGGAAAGTATACAAAGTGAAATCAATGGAAAGACAAGCGGGGTGATCTGACACTGGCGGCCACTAAAAGCAGTGGTATGACAAAAAAACTAATTAAAGTAATCGCAAAAGAAGTTAATAAAGGAAAGACGCCGTTCAGTCGAAACCAGCACATTTGGACGGATCCGGATGATCACACATAAGCGAATCGGCATGGAATGAAAGGCCTGGAATAGTGAACCATTGGTGATCATTGTAAAGACTTTGGATATCGATTTTTCAAAATATGTTCAGTTTTTTTTCGAAGAAAAATTGGTACCTTTCGGGCAGTCGAAACCGTAGGGATTTCCGTTCACACAGCGGATGAACTTTTGGCAATTCTTGGTGTCCGCATAGAAGCCGTCTGGGCCGCATTGGAACTCTGAAAGAGAATGTCCTGCTGGCAGTGTTTTTTTTCGATTCGCGTAGTTTTGTTTTAATATCTTAATTGACACCACAGCGGCCAGCCCTCAACCTTCATGTGTCTGAAACTTTTCAAACACATGAAGGTTGAGGGCTGGCCTGTCTCAGAAGTCCAAACAGATGTGCCTCCAATTCAGATGGCCTCCAAATTACGCACTAACATTGGCGCTTCAGGCGTGCGGAAACTGCAGAACGACCACCCAAGATGAAATATGTCAAACATCATACCTGTTAAGTGGAGTGGTGTAGAGGAAGTGGAGCCCCTTACCAGGTGCGGAGAATAGGGGAGGGTGCAGCAGCGTTTTGCGTGAAATGGAGACGTCAATACGACTCCCTCCCCCCCCCCAATTTACCCGTATGATACGCCCTGTCCCACCTAGCATCTTCCCATTTCCGCAACTTCCTGCCAGTTTTTGGTTTTTCCGCAAAGGTGCTGTCGAGCAGAGAAGGGGGAGGGGGGGGGCGTCAAAATCAGCTACTTATGTAGACGTGGTATGGTATTGGCGCGGCGCTGGCAACTAGGGTGGGTTAATAACCGAAAAAAACAAACAAAATTCTCACGGTCTGGAAAACTTCTACACCTAGCGGTACTGAACTTTGGTATGGGTTGGGCATCGATACGATCCAAACAACCTTCGCTCCCCTCGAAACTGTAGTAACTTGAGTTAGTTACTATCAAATTTCTCTGGGAAAACGTAATCAGAGACAGCGATAGGTGGATCTCCTTAGTAAAAGCACCATAAGGGAGATTTCACTGTCCATTACCTTCTCAATCTTCGCCTGAAACCCGGACCAACGGCTTTTTTGTTGCGGCTTTGAACGCAGGCTTTTGATTAGGTTTAGGCATATTAATTCATCTGAGGCTTAACTCACTCTAACTTCGATGCCACTAACTGGAAAACGTACGAGATTTCCCTTTCAAACCATTTTCTACAGAGAAATGGTTTATTTTTCTTCATGTTTATACAAATACTATGAGTGCAGTCCGTGTCTGTCACAACCAACCATTTCCTGGTGTTTTTGTTGTTGTGGGCGACCAGGAGGTCTCGGTAGTCGATACGGAACATCTCGAGTCAGCTATGTGTACACAATATCCTTTCGGAGACGAGAAATGCATTCCGAATGGACACGACATGTTGTAGCTCAAGCCTGAAAATGAGTTACTAGAGGAGTCATTAAGAAAGGGCTGACTATGAAGTGATTATGAGCCGAGACACGTCCTGCCGTTGGGGAAAATTTTTGCGGAACAACCCTTCAGGAAAATTTCCGCCTCTCCCTCAATATCCTGAGCAGTTTTATTCTGAACACTACGGTCCAAGGGTGAGGGCAAAGTTAAAGGGTGGAGAGCACCAAGGAAACGAGAAAAGCTAAGAAAAGTCAACAAACGACAGATTTTGCTCAGAAGCATTTACGACACCCCCCCCCTCTCCACCAACCAAACACAACCCTTCTCCTCGCTGAAGGATCCACAGTGTGCTTCCTGCCCTCAACATTCGTCAAATAGAGGGATACGGGCGAAACTGAGATCCACGCTGCGATCGGATTGTTTATACATTTTTTGCCTAGTTTAAACTACCAGGATTCAAGAAAACTGGCAAAACAACGATGAAACTCGATGACACTAAGGGCATATAGTGCTCCTTACACGGCAGAAACCAAAAGCGGAAGCAAATACATCAGGCCAAATATGAGCCCGCTTTCTAGGACTGAAATGAATCCTCTTCCTTCTCTCCCTCGTCTTCAGCGCTGAACGCTGATGTGTCATTTGAGCGCATGCTGGGCTAATGCTAGTGCAGTCACGCTAAAATTGAAAGAGTTTTCTCTCGTCCACTGTGCGCACCTTGCTGATGACGCCTCTTGTGCGGGGGGAGGCGCTAAGAGGACCCTCAGTGCAGAACTGGAACCACCGTAATGGGGATGTGGACCTTTGCCTAGACCTAAGGGGGAAGGATATTCGCAGTGAGCGATTAATTTGAGATACGGTGATTATGTCCCGATGACGAAGTGCCAGTGCTGCACAAGGAGCCTTCTAAATGCGTCAAAGTTGCTAAAGCCCATTGCTTTTTCTTTGAAGCCCCATTGCTATGTTCGCGCGTTCTCAACTGGAAAACTTTGGCCTCACTTGCAATTCAAGCTCTGTTGCACAAACAGGAGCTTTTCAGAACGTTCAGAACTTTATAGGATTTTTCACGAGAATCCGGCCGTTGTTCGTAAGAATGACAGTAAAGGACTAACCTTGAAGGCATAGGATGAACTGTGAACAGTCATTATTCATGGCATGGAAACCATCCGGCATTTCATCGCAGAAGTTCGTTGGTGGTGGGGTTGTTGGTGCAGCTGTTGGCGGCACCGATGGTGCTACTGTCGGTTGTGGTGTTGATGGTCGAGCTGTTGTTGTTGTTACAGCTGGAGGAGCATTCTTCTGGAAAAAAATTCGCCTTCGACACTGCACAAACCGATCGTAATGAGCTACAGTAACCAGCAATAGTACAGCGCCCAGTAGTCTTGGACCGATGTAGTTTTTTAGTTATAACTCATGACAGCACTTGATTAATCATATGGTTGCTGTAACAGCAATCAGTCTGAGAGGTTCCAGGAGGAGTCGTGAGCCCGCCTATTCTACCAATAGTGGTCTGCTAGTGGTCGATTTCAGGAAAAAAACAACTATGATGAAGACGCCACGAATGAACATTTCATGTCTCTTAGCACCACCATGACTGGTTGCGGCGACATCAACTAAATTTACAGATGAAGAGCTTCTCACTTTGGGTATTGTGACACCTCCGAGCTCTTTAGCGATAATGCTGATGAGTGGATATAGCTGCCCGTCACTATTCGAGCATTTCGCGTTAAAGTCGTCAAAGTCCAACGTCCATACAAAGGCTCCACCATACTTGTTGCGTTTAATCCATGCCATCTGGAAAAGTGGAACTAGTTGGGAAGAATGAAAGCAGGGTCTTGTTCGCTGGGGATGCTGGTGCCTTTCAGAGAAATGGCTTTGACGTGGCGCCAGCCTTTTCCAACAACTGCTGGGCGGGAGACCACTGTTGCTGGAAGAGTGGCTTAGAGCGTGCCAACCCTAGCTCCTGACACGCCCCAGCGTCCGCACGAACAAGACTATATGGGAAAATCCTGTCCCCTCAAACTGCAAGTATATGACAAACCTTGTTGGCAATCGATTCCTCGTCATCATAACTCCACCATTGATCTCCTTGTACGAGATATGGAACTTGTTGTTCAGCGTTCCAGTAACGGGTGGCTCCAGTGGCCAACATCTCGCAGAACTGAGAATAATGTTCTACAGGAAGTGCCAGATTAAATTCTTGCTTACTTTCATTTTATTATATTTCATTCAGAGCCAGTTCAATGTCAGTTATCAAGTTCCCATTAGGCTGCATTCATACTTCGCGGCAGCGTCCACCAGCGTTCCTACTAAACGGGTCTAACAAACGGCAGCGCCTATCAGTGTCTACCAGCGCCCACCAGCGTTCGCCAGCGACTATCAGCGTCTCGAGGGACTAGGAAAGTATGGATATCGATCTAGCGTCTACCAGCGTTTACCAGGAGTAGAGTGTGGGGAAGTAGGAGGAGGAGAGAGCTGGATTAAGCGTCGCGAATTTTCGGCGCGTGCAACCGACCGCACCACTGCACAATACCGTGCTCTTGGTCGTTGGTGAGCGCTGTTGGCTGCTGGTGGACCTTGGTAGGCGATAGACCAATATCCATACATTCCTAGTCGTTGATGCTGACAAACGCTCAAAACGCTGATGGTCGCTGGCGGACGTTGGTATATGCTGCCGCAAAGTCTAAACGCAGCCTTAGGTATTTTGGAAAATGGAACCTCTAGGAAACAGGCATGACTCACTTTATTCTCTTCCCAAAAAGTCGTATATGGATTCAGATATATCACCGCTGTGTGTGTGTTTGGTCACTGGTAAGGAACATAGTCATGGTCCCAGGAGAATTTTCTATGATTGGTTTCTTTCATCAGTGGCACGCTATGCCACCATTTTCCCCTTAAGCGCAGCGGAGAGCTTTACCATTGTTGATTGCATTCGTCCAATACCACCCCCAACCCGGGGCACATACTTGTTGGGGAATCCCAATAGGGGGGGTCGTATTTGGCCGCCAGGAGAGGGGGGGTCGTATTTGGGCTGGAAAAATTTATTTTGATAGTTGATTTTTCTCGCTTCATTGTAAAGGGAGGGGGGTCGTACTTGGTCATTGTTGTTGAGAGAGGGGAAGTCGTATATTTAGGTTTTGGCCTTTAGGAGCAGTGGTTGACTTTTTGTGATTCTCCTCCCCCCCCCCTCCCTGCTCGACAGCAAAATTTTTGGGAAAAAGTAGGGAAGTTTTCGGGAATTTTGGAAAAAGTGGCAGAAAGTGGGGAAGCTGGGAAAATCTGAGAATTGGTAGAAGGGGAGGACGTATTGTCTTGTATTGAAGAGGAGGGACAGAGGGCCGGAGGGGGGAAACCGTACAGAGTCGACTACAATCCCCAACCAATGATGTGCCCTGCCCTACCCTCTCTGAGGATTATCCCTGGAGGGGGTCCCAGGGGCGGTTTCTCGCTTCACAACTATGTGCACCCATATCGGAGAGCAAAGGGGACCGCGGCAACGGACGCAACTTTGGTGCAGCACTTCTTAGACAGCCGTTTTCGTTGCAGGCACTGTTAGAGGAGGCTCCGCGTTCTGCCTGCTTTCGTGTGGCGGCTCACTGCCATCGCCGCTCTTCTGCCCCGCTCCCTGTTACTTCCAGGTGAAGACTGAGGCATCATAGCGCAGGTAAGAGCGCTACGCCACGATTCGCATTCCCTGACACCCGAGACACCTGTTATATTCTCTCACAAACCTCATAAAATGAAGCAACTCCTGCTTCCTGAGTGAAAGGTGTAATTTTGGCAGGTGATCCTTCCGCTCCAACGGTGATGTTCGATTTATCCTTGAGAGTCCAACCTAGGTTAGAGTACTAGTGCCAATTGTCTTCCTAATTATGGCATCCAGGATAATTAGCACTCACCTCGTCCATATGTTGGTATTCCAATAATTATCTTCTCCTTGGGCATGCCTTTTTCATTCCAGTGGTTTGCCGCCCAGTCCTGTAATTAGGCTAAAGTGCGGTGACCATAATGGGATTCTTAACAATTACTGTAACATCAATAATCAACAGAAAGTTTCAATATTGGGAAGTACTCACGATGTTCCAAACTTTTTCCGATTCCCTCATATCTTCTCTCGCATAGAGAGGCGAATTAAAACCGGTCTCTGTACTCCATGCTCCGTGGAAGTCATAGTTCATGAGAAGGATGAAATCCAGGTGGCTGAAAAAACGGTTCATCCATACAAAAGATCGAATGCAGTAGAGCATTAGCAGTAACCAACTCGGCAACGGCTGGCACGTCATATCCAGCATCGATAGTACTTTCTCCAGCAGATACTGCAGCAGTGACGAGTAGACGAGGCTTCTGAGATGATGCCGCTTCTGCAGCACAAGCTTCGCTGAGCTCCTGCAGTGGACAAATATAGACTGAGAAGCTGTAGGGGACTGATTGGCTCTGCTCGGACGCTTCTGCTCGAACTCCAACCAACCAGTGCTCTAAGGACCACTTTTGCTCAGCGAAACTGGCAGGAGCCGTCCAGGCTTAGCAAAATCTAAATCTCGTTTTAAAATAGTCACCGAGATAAAGCTGGCGTAGTTCCTGACGTCAGACGGTCCAGAAGGATACTCCCAATCGATATCGATCCCATCAAAGTCCCATTGACGAACAAAGGCGATCGCGGAATTGATAAAGACCTTTCGTCGCACGGGAGTCTCTGCCATATCCTACAAAAGCGAAACGATCTTACTGGTACATCCAGGAACGACAGTTTGGATACTGTGAAGCCAATGAGTTTGAGCCTGTTAGTAGTGTACTCCTGGAGACTTCAAACTTGTTTCCTATGACTGCACACGCTTTGTGGCGCTGGGTCGGGGGGGGAACATTCTGCTTCTTGCTAATTCTTTGCTAGTCCCTGTTGACGTCTGGCTGTTGTTTGCTAGTCCCTTGTTTCTTTTGTCCCCATCTAGCTGGCCATAGGTCATCTCGGTAGGACCTGTAGATCACGGATTGTCAGAGAAGTTCATACTGTTGCGTAGCTTCACAAGAATTTTAAGGCTCAAAGGAGGCATTGAGATCGGTGGGAAGCACCAGAATGCCCCCATCAAACCGAACTGCCTGAGCCGAAACTTTTGCTCATGGTAGTGTGTCTGACTCGGTGAAATGAAAAAAAAAACTTATTCTTCGGGAGAAGGTAAATCACAAGGCGGTAATGCTTTACTATAAGGTAAGTCGTTACCGTCTTCAAAAAATCTACAAGCTGCGAGTTTTTTCAGGCAAAAACTTTTTGTAAAAAAAATGTTACTTGAACTTGACATAAAACTTGCCTTAAACAATCGTGTACCAAAACTCCATCCACCAATAGAGAGCAGTGTCTTTAGGTTTGGATCCTTACGTTTGAGGGCATTCACACGTTTGTACATTCCATCACCGGCCCAGTCATTTGGCAGATCGGCAGGATCGAATGCTCTGCAAAAAAACCCACTTGGCTTCAGTCGGATCTTTATGGTGACTGTTGCTCAACACAATCGCGCTTTAAAGCTACCACAAGAATGCTGAATTATGGGCAAAAGTCTTGACACATGCGGGTTTTGAACGTCTACCTCACACCAGCCGGGTGAGGTGTGGGCCCAAACTTTGCCATGGGTCAAAACTTTGACCCATAACTCAGAACCCTTGTGATAATCGTGGAGTGAGTACGCAGTATTGTCTAATAGACTGTTACTGTCTCTATAAGCACCGAAACTTTATAAAAAAATGAAACTAAAGTGGATTTATTATAGAAGTACTTTCATTCGAAAGGATTATGATGGCAGTTTGGTGTTCTGCGGCTGACCTGGTCTATCACAGCTTCAAGGATTCGGACCAAATGGTTGAAGCTTGACAGTCCTGCCGAGAGACGGTCTAAATTTCACCGTAAACCTCAGCAAAGGAACCAGGCGCTAGACAAGAGGAAGGGGCCTATTCCATGACAAGGTTCCACCTCAGTTCGCTTGATTCACTATAGGAATTTGAACGATTTGGCTATGAAACTTCCCCGCACCCACTATATTCACCAGATCTAGCCCACACCGAGACCACCTCTTCAGTAATTTTCAAATCTTCTTCAAGAACTGTTCCTTCAGAAGCCGAAGTGATTCCATGGAATTAAGCGATTTCATCGCGTCTAGATCTATGGTATTCTATGTAAGCGGGATAAACAATCCTGTCTCTTGTTGGCTGGAGTGTTTTGATAGTAATCGTTCTTATTCAGACTGATTAGGTCCTATTCAAGCTGAAATATTGAAATTCGAGGTCGAAAGCGTAAGAACATTACACACAGCCCCGTAGTCCCAAGTCAGCCACTGCCGGTAGTGTAGCGATGAAGAAATCTGACCCCAATAATTATGACCTACAGGCTGACGCTTCCAATATTTTGCACGATATTCAATACAGCAGGCCATTTAGTAGGTATCTAAGTGAATATAATGGACCCTTTTATTTAATTTTGTGGGTGGCTATTGGATAAGGGAGAGGCCGGTGTGGAGGAAAGCGGAATCGCTTCCCATGGAGCCATGGTACGGTGGTCAATCCCCACCTTGCCTCTTGGGTAACCCTACTGAGCCTTCCACCCTTTAAAGGTACTAGTCAGCGAAGAAAAGCACTGTGAAATGCACGCTCGACCAAGCAGTCATTGTATAGGCTAAATTGCTCTCGCTTGTCGCGAACATTCCGAACGAAAGTTTACTGCGTGGCGCATTCCAGAGATGATGGTCACCCTCATGTTTAATCTTTCTTCACGGAATGGGACACTACCATGAACAGGGTCATTAACCATTACCTGTCAAATACCTGCCGTATGGCGCTCATGGTATGATGGGGAGTTCAGACTAAGGCAGCGTTCAGACTTCGCGACGGCAGCGCTTCAATCGCGCGTTCGACGCGATCGATGCGCATGCTTTCAACTGCATCGATCGTGTTGACCACGCAACCCAGCACTGCCGTCACGAAGTCTGAACGCTGCCTAACGGTGCATGCGAGAGAACTGCAACTGGCAGGCACAAGCAGTCTGTTCTCGAAGAAGACTGTCTGTTCCCGAAGAAGATCTGAAGACTTTGAAAACCAAGAAAAAACTCATAGAAAGGCAGGCCATCGCTGATGATGATGATCAGCGATGGCGTGCCTTTCTATGAGTCTATGAGTGAGTTATGATCAGTTCCTGAAAAACACGACCGTCGATGCTGCCTACCACTTCTCCGATTTTCCCAACTTCCTACCACTTTTCCACTTTTCGCGAAAA